TCATTCTGCTGAGGCCCCCTTGTCCAGTTCCACGTCTGTGACCTGCAGCGCAGCGCCAGCAGAGTGGTTTCGTGACACTCGGCCTCACGAATCCCCCCAGGGTCAGGACTCGCGCCAGGGCCTCTGAGAGCACACCCCTTTCCGCGGGTTGATTCAGCCCAGGCCTTGGGTGTCCTCCGAGATTCCTGCCACTTGCTTCCAAGATTACAGTGTCTCGGGGACTTCATGGAAAGCAGGTGGAGACACTGGACGGTGGAACGCAGGCCTCTGGGGCCAGCCGGGCGCTGGTGAGGCATAGCAGCCCTTGAATTCCCGCCCGTGTCCTTAGTCACAGCCTGACTTCCCAGGGGGCCACTCTCCCTGTCATCTGTGACACACGGACATGAGCCTCTTTAAATGTCCTGATGCCTGGTGAGTCAGGCCCACGTTTGAAACTTCAGGGAGGGAGCTGGACTGGCTGTCACATGAGTCACAGGATGTCACACCCGGAGTATTCTTAGACACCCTCTTCCTGTCACAGACGCGGGGACCGAGGGCAGGGAAGGGCAGAGGCTTTGCCAGCGGCTCAGGGAATCTGGCTGAGGGCCCGAATGTGTGTGCCCTCAGCCCCCGTCCAGGCACCCACCCTGAGTGGCCACTGACCGTCTACTTCTGTGTCTGTTCCCCGGGTGACTCCGTGGGCTCACTTACTACTTGCACTTGGAATATCAGGACAGGCATGTGGATTTCCCCAGCTCACACAATTATAGGCGAGAACACGGAACCTCTGGGAGATGGAGCGGCGTTGCGGGGTCCCAGAGCCGGCTGGCAATGGCCAGCCTCACAGGCCTGCTTCCTGTGGCCATGGCCGCCCGGGAGACTGGCCACAGCAGAGCTGTCTGCGGGGCTGGGGCGAGGCTGGGGGTGCCAGGCAGAGCCTGGCAGTGGCCTGGGGTCCCCCTGGGAGCTGCGGCCCCGAGGCCCCGAGTGTCCCGCAGAAGGTGCGGATTTCCTTCCTGCCAACATGGCAGGGGAACAGAAGGGTCAAGCACCTTGCGTGGTTCGGTGCCTTTGCCCTGGGCTGAGCTCACGGGGAAGATGTGGCCGGATGAGAGCAGACCGAAAGGGAAAGGCCTACACTGTGCTGTGTGGGGCGGGCCAGGACAGCAGCGTCCCCCTGCACGCCGAAAATATCCCGGAGGCCATCGGGACTGCGGTGGGGACACGGCCCTGGACGCCACAGCGCAGGGCCCTGTCTTGAGACCACCTGGAGGTTCTGGGCGGCCGAACCTGTGGGCACGCCTTCTATGCTGGTCACCTCCACAGGGGACACTGTTCTTCAGGGTGGGCATGGTCAGCAGAAAAATGAACCCTGGGCTGGCCAGCGGCCTGCAAGGTCGCCCAGTGGAAAGTGATCTATGCAGGACTGACATCCCGCACACACACACCACAGCCAAGGAGCCCTGCTCACTGCACCCCTGAGGGCACAGGTGTGGGTCTACCCCTGCTCACTGAAGGGCAGGTGTCGGTCTCTACCCCTGCTCACTGAGGGGCAGGTGTGGGTCTACCCTGCTCACTGAGGGGCAGGTGTGCATCTACCCCTGCTCACTGAGGGGCAGGTGTGCGTCTACCCCTGCTCACTGGGGGGCAGGTGTGGGTCTCTACCCCTGCTCACTGAGGGGCAGGTGTGCGTCTCTACCCCTGCTCACTGAGGGGCAGGTGTGCGTCTCCACCCCTGCTCACTGAGGGGCAGGTGTGTGTCTACCCCTGCTCACTGAGGGCAGGTATGGGTCTCTACCCCCTGCTCACTGAGGGGCAGGTGTGGGTCTCTACCCCTGCTCACTGAGGGGCAGGTGTGCGTCTACCCCTGCTCACTGGGGGACAAGTGTGGGTCTCTACCCCTGCTCACTGAGGGGCAGGTGTGGGTCTACCCCTGCTCACTGAGGGGCAGGTGTGCGTCTCTACCCCTGCTCACTGAGGGCAGGTGTGGGTCTACACCTGCTCACTGAGGGGCAGGTGTGCATCTACCCCTGCTCACTGAGGGCAGGTGTGCGTCTACCCCCTGCTCACTGAGGGGCAGGTGTGCGTCCCTACCCCCTGCTCACTGAGGGCAGGTGCGTCCCTACCCCCTGCTCACTGAGGGGCAGGTGTGGGTCTACCCCTGCTCACTGAGGGGCAGGTGTGCGTCTACCCCTCCTCACTGAGGGGCAGGTGTGGGTCTACCCCTGCTCACTGGGGGGCAGGTGTGCGTCTACCCGTCCTCACTGAGGGGCAGGTGTGGGTCTACCCCTGCTCACTGGGGGCAGGTGTGGGTCTACCCTGCTCACTGGGGGGCAGGTGTGCGTCCCTACCCCTGCTCACTGGGGGGCAGGTGTGCGTCTACCCCTGCTCAATGGGGGGCAGGTGTGCGTCTACCCCTGCTCACTGAGGGGCAGGTGTGCGTCTCTACCCCTGCTCACTGAGGGGCAGGTGTGGGTCTACCCCTGCTCACTGAGGGCAGGTGTGGGTCTACCCCTGCTCACTGGGGGGCAGGTGTGCGTCTCTACCCCTCCTCACTGAGGGCAGGTGTGGGTCTACCCCTGCTCACTGAGGGCAGGTGTGGGTCTACCCTGCTCACTGAGGGGCAGGTGTGGGTCTACCCCTGCTCACTGAGGGGCAGGTGTGGGTCTCTACCCCTGCTCACTGAGGGGCAGGTGTGGGTCTACCCTGCTCACTGAGGGGCAGGTGTGCGTCTACCCCTGCTCACTGGGGGGCAGGTGTGGGTCTACCCTGCTCACTGGGGGGCAGGTGTGGGTCTACCCCTGCTCACTGAGGGCAGGTGTGGGTCTACCCTGCTCACTGAGGGGCAGGTGTGCGTCTACCCCTGCTCACTGAGGGCAGGTGTGGGTCTACCCTGCTCACTGAGGGGCAGGTGTGGGTCTACCCCTGCTCACTGAGGGGCAGGTGTGGGTCTCTACCCCTGCTCACTGAGGGGCAGGTGTGGGTCTACCCTGCTCACTGAGGGGCAGGTGTGCGTCTACCCCTGCTCACTGGGGGGCAGGTGTGGGTCTACCCTGCTCACTGGGGGGCAGGTGTGGGTCTACCCCTGCTCACTGGGGGCAGGTGTGGGTCTACTCTGCTCACTGGGGGGCAGGTGTGGGTCTCTACCCCTGCTCACTGAGGGGCAGGTGTGGGTCTACCCCTGCTCACTGAGGGGCAGGTGTGGGTCTACCCCTGCTCACTGGGGGCAGGTGTGGGTCTACTCTGCTCACTGGGGGGCAAGTGTGGGTCTCTACCCCTGCTCACTGAGGGGCAGGTGTGGGTCTACCCCTGCTCACTGAGGGGCAGGTGTGGGTCTACCCCTGCTCACTGAGGGCAGGTGTGGGTCTACCCTGCTCACTGGGGGGCAGGTGTGGGTCTACCCTGCTCACTGGGGGGCAGGTGTGGGTCTACCCTGCTCACTGGGGGGCAGGTGTGCGTCTACCCCTGCTCACTGGGGGCAGGTGTGGGTCTTCCATGGTTTGCGTGTCATCTGCAACAACATAGGAAAACCTGCTCAGGAAAAGAGAAGCCAGGAGAACGGAGGAGATTACTGTTCCAGGTGTTTTCATTATGAAGAAAACTAAAGGGAAAATCTGATCGACATCGTGGACACCAGGAACCGATTTAAAAAAAAAAAAAAAAACACACAAAAAACGCTACCCACACCAGGATCTCCATAATATCACCGATCCTAAAGCTTCTGCCGCCTTCGCGAAGTCTGGGAAAAACAAGGCGGCGGAGACCTTGCTTCGGAAGCGAATGGCTCCGGTGGTGGGAACAAGCAGCTTTTTGAGACACTGTTACACCGCACGCACGGCGGAATGGCGGTCGCCGCGGCGCCGGGGCGGGGCTTCCAACGCCGCGTCCCTCGGCGCGCGAACGCCCCGAGGAGGTTTGGCCTCCGGGCCCCGCCGTAGGTCGCGATGCATTCTGGGCCTCCGCAATATGGCGTCCTCCTTGATGTGCTGATGAGAGGAGTTTCACTGTAGCGCCAAACCAGAGGGCAAAACTCCCCCAAGCCAGTAAGCGCGCGTTCCGCGTTGTTTCCGCGGGCCCGTGCCGCCCGGCCCTCGGGACTTGTCCTCAGGCAGGACAGACCCACGGGGCCGAAGGCCAGGGCCAGGCAGGCCGCGCGGGCCCGGGGCTGAGGAGCCGGCTGCGGACGAGCACGATGGCCCGGTCCTGGCTCTGGTTGCAGCCGCTCAGGCGAGTGCGGGACCCGCAGGGCTGAGAGCGGCTGGAGGAGACCGAGCAGCGCGGAGCCCGCTGCCCTCCGGCCAGGCGGCCCCGCGGGCGAAGCGGCCGCAGGAGCGGGCGGCCTGCGTGCGCTCGGAGCGGCCCCGGGCGTCGGCGGCCGCGGGCAGGGCCGCCGTGAGGCCCCGAGTTTCTCGCGCCTGCTGACACCTCGGCTCGCAGCGCCTCGGGGGACGCGGCCGGGGGCTCGGGCCCGGGGCTGCGCGTCCGCGCCGGCTTCGCTCCCCGACCCCGACTGGGCCCGCGGAGCCCGGACTTGCGCGGCCGCCTGGGGGTCTGGGCGCGCTCTGCCCCCCGAGTCTTCGCCCGGTCGTCCTTGGCCAGCCCCGGTCCGCACGAGGGGTCAAGGCTGGAGGTTCTCGAGCGCCTGCTGCCCAGGACCCCCCCGCCCCCGGCCCCGGCGATGGAGGCCGAGATGCTGCAGTCGCCCCTGCTGGGGCTCGGGGAGGAGGACGAGGCCGACCTGACCGACTGGAACCTGCCGCTGGCCTTCATGAAGAAGAGGCACTGCGAGAAGATCGAGGGCTCCAAGTCCCTGGCGCAGAGCTGGAGGATGAAGGATCGGGTGAGTGGGGGGCGGGCGGCGCGTGTTGCCGGACGCTTCCGCCTGCGGGCTGGGAGAGGGCTGTGCTGCCTGGCGCTGCTTCTCCTCGCTGGACTTGGGTTCCGGCGAACTAAGTTAGGCCACTTTGAAAAGACTGCGTTCCAGTGTCCGCGCTGTTCCCGCTGAGGGCAGGGCAGCGCGCTGACCACGTGTCGGTCTCCTTCTGTGGCTGCGAGTTTCTATTTTCTTTAGGGTTTATTTTATTTATTTGAAAGGCAGAGAGAGAGAGAGAGGGAGGGAGGGCGAGAGAGAGAGAGAGGGAGGGAGGGAGGGCGAGAGAGAGTGAGAGAGAGAGAGAGAGAGGGAGGGAGGGCGAGAGAGCGAGAGAGAGAGAGAGAGAGAATATCTTCCGTCCACTGGTTCTCTCTCCAAATGGTGGAAACAGCCCGGAGTGGGCCAGGCTGAAGCCAGGAGCCAGGAGCTTCTTCCAGGTCTCCCACGTGGGTGCAGGGGCCCAAGGACTTGGCCATCCTCCACTGCTTTCCCAGGCCACAGCAGAGAGCCGGATCGGAAGTGGAGCAGCGGGACTGGAACTGGGCGGGTGTGGGATGCCGGCCCTGCGGGCGCGGGCCCCAGCTGGGTGCAGGAGCCGAGGCAGTGCCTGGGAAGCAGGGCGACTGGAGCTTCTGAGTGGTGTCAGGAGCACAGGTTCCCAGAGTCGCGGGGAGCTGCACCCCGTCTCTGCTCTGCCTGGGGGCCAGGCGGCTGTTCTGAGGCCCCACCAGGATTCCTCCAAAGGTGGACGCGGCATGTGACGGGGGTGGGAGTGCCCGGGCGCTGCCGCGTGGGCCACGGCTGGGAGGAGGAGAGCTGGTTTTGTGCGTCTGTGGCCGCGGGAGGCAGAGGGTGGCGCCCTGCTGTGTTGCTTCTGCCTCTGTGGTCCTCGCAGGCCGCTGTGCTGTCTGCACGTTCAGGGGTGTACAAGGGAAGCTGGTGTTAATGATGTTTGGTTTGCCCGGGCTCGCGTGTGTGTGTGTGTGTGAGAGACTAGATTGTTTCTTTCTTCTGAACGGTGTTGAATGTATCTGAGTTCACCACGGTATTCCAGCCGATCAGTCGCCGGTGCCTCAGTTGCTAGTTTGGCTTTTCCTTTTAAAGAGTTTGGGAAGTTTGTTTTATCCAAAAACAACTGAAGGAGTAAAATTGGTCGCTGGGAGAGGTAGTGCAGTGTGCCGACACCTTTAGTTCTGGTTGTTTGAAAAGCAGGGAGACAGGAGGAGATCCCCAGCCCACGGGTTCACTCCCCAAATGCCTGCCGTGGCTCGGGCTGGGCCAGGCCAAAGCTGGGAGCGGGGGACCCCATCCGGGTCTGCCACGTGGGCGGCGGTGGCCCGGCTACCTGAGCCGTCACCTGCTGTCTCCCAGGGTGCGGAACCTGGAGTGGAGCCGGGATGCAGAGGTAGGCACTCCCTTATGGGATGTGGGTGTCCAGCCCCCTCTGCACCGCTGCGCCGAGCACCCGCCCCGAGAAGCGCTGTTTGGGGCTGGTGGCGTGGAGCAGTGGTGCGGCGCCTCATCCTCTGTGGGCACCGCCTTGAGTCCTGGCTGCTCCGCTTCCGCTCCAGAATCCTGCTGATGCGCCTGGGAAAGCAGCAAGAGCTTGGGTGCCAGTCACCCGTGTGGGAAACTACAGGGAAGCTCCGGGCTGCCGGCTTTGGCCTGGTCCAGCCCCAGCTCTTGTGGCCGTTTGGGGGTGAGCCAGAGGATGGAAGACCTCTCTTTCCTTCTCTGTAACTCTTCCAAATAAATAAATACGTCTTTTTACAAAATCATTTTTGCTTGGCGGAGGGTCTGTTATTTACAGGAAACTCCACAGTGCACTTTTATCCCAGGTCCGTGACCGCTTTGTCAGCCTGGCCTCTCCAGCCTGGCAGCCCGAGCCGCAGGTTTGGACGCAGAACGTTGCCTCCCCAGTGATGGCGGGTCATACCTGACGTTGTAGTTGTCCTGGTGATGTCCTGTAGCTTGGCCAGAGCACCTGCGGGAAGGCCACGGTGGTGTAGGTCTTCCTGTTGGCCAGATGCCCTGGCCTGGCCTCTCCCTTGGTGGTGCAGTGGGGGTCCCCATCTTACGACCCAGGACAGGCAAGAGAGGGCCACCTCGATGTGTGCAGTCACGGTCAGCTGCACCTCCCTGCTCTCCACCAAGGTGGGCAGTGTCGACCCTGCTCAGAGGGGTCTGGGTGAGGACGCCCCTGTGTCAGCAGCTTCCTTCTCGGCCCAGGCCAGCAGCTGCTTCTCTTGTTTTGTTTCTGTTCTGTACCTGGGGACCAGCCTCAGCGGTTGGTAGCCTTGTGGCCGTCCAGGACCTGGGTGAACCGGGTAACGCAGGAGGCACTGGCAGCTGTCTGTGCAGGATGGCCCTCTGCCCCTCAGCCAGGTGCGGTGCATGTGAGGTCCCGTTTGTGCGGGGCGTCCTGTCCGTCGCCAGGGTGCTTAGGCCTTTTCTCAGACTCCGGGGATTTGTCTTCTTCTTGGTCTCCTGCCTCGCGACAGCAGAGATGGGGCCGTCGGCATCTTGGGCGGCTGGAGGAGAGAGCAGGCGTTTGCGTTAAAGCAGCTCTGACTTCATTTTTTATCCTATTTGGAGGGCAATTTTTTTTGAAATGTTCCCTCTGCTACCCTGAACCTGTACTCAAACTGTTTGATGAGTGGATAACTTTGACCTTTTAACTTACACATTAATTTATGAATGATTAGGTTATTAAAGAAACAAAAGTATTGTTCATCTTAGTACCGAGATTGCTGCTTGGGAGAGAGCCCGGGGAGGAGGTTTGCCTTGGCGAGTTGTTCAGTGGAGTCAGCAGTGGAGCCGTCGGTTTGCAGGGCGGCGTCTTAGTGCCCTGTGGCCCCTGGGGCTGTCAGTCGGCTCTACCAGGGCTCACGCTGCAAATTCAGGTGGGGGCAGCCTAGATGGGTGAGCCAGGCCAGACTCCAGAAGGAAAGTGGCGCAGGCCCAGGAGAAATGGAGTCGACACTTGACTCAGAATTTGGTTTTCTGGAGGGTGGGGGCCGTGGGCCCTGGAGAGTCTGTGCTGGAGCAAAAGGGGCCGCTGGGCCTTGGCTGGATGGCCTGGGTTCTTTGAAGTCAGAAAGCTCTGTAACATGAGGCCTTCCAGTTGTATTATTGGTGCTAATTCAGGTGTTGTAAAGCACAGTGCTGGGGCTGGCACTGTAGTGCAGCAGGTTAGGCTGTGGCCTGTGACACTGGTATCCCATTTAAGTGCCAGTTCGAGTCCCGGCTGTTCCACTTCCGATCCAGCTTCCTGCTGTTGTATGGGAAAGCTGTGAAAGATGGCCCAAGTGCTTGGGCCCCTGCACCCACGTGGGAGACCTGGATGGAATTCCTGGCTCCTGGCTTTGGCCTGGCCCAGCCCCAACTGTTGTGACCATTTGGGGAGTGAACCAGTGGATGGAATCTCTTTCTGTCTCTATACTCTGCCTTTCAAGTAAATAAATAAATCTTAAAACAACAACAACAAAAACCCAGGAAGCACACAGTGTGATCTAACACTGCAGGTGAACCAAGCCCATCCGTGGAGTGGGTGGAGTGGGTTCTGGCCACTGGGTTCCCCGCGTGGGACGTTGCTCTTTCGTGGCAACTGTAGGCAGCTGCTCTGAGGCCGGGAATCTTGGGCACCCGGGCATCCAGGCCAGCCTGTTCCAGGCCTGGAGGCGGTGGAGTAGCTGCTTTGTGGAGCGGCACAGGTGGGCCTGTTGGTGCCGTGCTAGGGGCCGCGTCAGCCCCTCCTGGCAGCCACGGGCTGCTTCCGGTGATGCACAGTTCCATGATATGTTTATTTTGTTCATATGCTGAAAATGGCTTACTGGTATCTGACCGCCCGTCCTTGTTACAGATTCCTGAGAGAGACTTTACTAAAGTTGACCCTGAGTGCAGGAAACTTTTCTGCTCTAATGTTTGGCGTCCTTGGAGAGCCACGGTCACGCCCACCGTCATTCGGTGTTCCTGCCGTCTTTGTTTGATCAGGCCTCGTTTCCATGTGCCACTGTTACTGCGTTTTCATTACTGGGCTACTGCTGGTTTTACTATGGTTATTATTGGTTGGTTAATTCTGTGTAGGAGAGTGATATAAACAGTAGTCTTTTTTTTTTTTTTTTTTTTTTGACAGGCAGAGTGGACAGTGAGAGAGAGAGACAGAGAGAAAGGTCTTCCTTTGCCGTTGGTTCACCCTCCAATGGCCACTGCGGCCTGCGCACTGCGCTGATCCGAAGCCAGGAGCCAGGTGCTTCTCCTGGTCTCCCATGGGGTGCAGGGCCCAAGCACTTGGGCCATCCTCCACTGCACTCCCTGGCCACAGCAGAGAGCTGGCCTGGAAGAGGGGCAACCGGGACAGAATCCGGCGCCCCGAGCGGGACTAGAACCCGGTGTGCCAGCGCCGCAGGCGGAGGATTAGCCTGTTGAGCCGCGGAGCCGGCCCAGTAGTCTTTTTTAATACATTAAAAAAAGATTTATTTATTTGAAAGGCCAGGTTACAGAGAGAGGGAGAGACAGAGAGATCTTCCATCCATTGATTCACTCCCCAAAGGGCTGCAGCGGCCAGGGCTGGGCCAGGCTGAATCCAGGAGCCCAGAGCTGCTTCCTGGTCTCCCACGTGGGTGCAGGGGCCCGAGCACTCGGGCCATCTTCCACTGCTTTCCCTCGTGCATTAGCAGGGCCTGGAAATGGAGCAGCTGGGGCGTGAACCAGCGTTACCTTTTACCTGCTGTGCCACAGCACTGGCCCTGGCCCCTCATAGTGCTTTTACAGGAAAATTGTGATTTTTCCATTTCTAGACAAATCTGTGACTTCCTAGAGCTGTAGCAGCAGCAGATAAGCTTGTGTCCCCATCTGTCATTACTGTGGTTCTCTGCACCCCTCACAGAGCGCGTGAGAGGGTGGGCTCACTGGTCAGGGGTTGTTTGCCTGCACGTGGCGTGGAGACAGGGAAAGACCATCGGCAG